ACAGATCTTAAAACATAACGTTCATAAACGGAAACATCGGCACATGTAGATATGTAGATCTTGAAAGCCGAGTTATTCAAAACTTGAAAATAGCGTTGATAACTGGACCAATTGTTGGTTGAGATGTTGCAAAGAAAATATCTGATGAAGCTTTTCGCCAGACACTAATCATAGCAGAACCGTCTGGAAAATGATCTATTGGAAATAGTACAGCTTATAAAATGAGTCAGATCAACGTTGGCATGTCCTTAAGCCAATCAGGAAATGTCACAGACCTACTGAAGGATGCGTAAATTGTATAGGAATTCTTTTTGGCGGCAAAGGACAGGTTTGTGTGTTTTAATAAAGGTAGCTTCCAAAATGTAGAGATGAAAGATTGACAGACCATTTGCAATAATTTTAAACCTGCTATCCGGTAGTTGTTAGCACAAATCGGGTTCACTAGTAAATGCTGGCCAAACGATGATTCACATTTAGGTGGTAGAACTTTTGTTTTACAGGAGCGACATGGTAAGTTCTTTTCTTTCACACTCTTAGTTCTTATGGATGTGGGTGCATGTTGTTTAATTCTATCCTGCAATCTTTGTGAAGTGCGACCTACGTACCGACATTCGCAGTGGCACGACAATTCATAAATAACCATACTTTTCTGTGTGGTAGGTATCGCATCTTTGTGTGTTGCAGGCAACAACTTGCGTGTGGAATAAGCACAGTAGGGTTTCACTGCAGGAAAACATTTAGTAATGGCCGTTTTCAATTGTTTTTAAAATTTTATTGAAATGTTACCAATTCATAGTAGTTTTAGGTAAACAGGACACTTGTTAGGACCAAATTTTGGGTCAATTGAGAATTTTCCTTGAAGTAATTTGATTGATGACGTTTTCTGGATACCCATTTTCTAGTAAAATATTTTGATTGTCTTCCATTTGAAATCTAGTTTAGATTTTGAACAGATAACTAGAGCCCGATGGACTAAAGTAGCAATAAGGTTCGTTTTGCGACTTTTAGGACTGAAAGAATCCCATCGTGTGTATTGTCTTGTAAATGTAGGTTTTCTGTATATACTGGTGAGAAAACCAAAGTCATCTTTTCAACTAAGACGTCTAGGAACGGAACGGTAAAAAGTTATGTTGTTCCTTTTCGAAAGGAATTAAATCAAGGAATTGTTCTACATTCTGAGGTTTCCCATATCCAGTAGTAATTAAAGTTCCATTTTCTTGTTGGGTGCCCATTTCTTTCAAGACTTTTATGGTATGGTTGTTTTCTCGTTAATTTTAACACAGATTTTAAAATATTTCCATTAGCGTTTTAAGTTTTTAATAAGTACAGGTTTGTAAAAACGTGAGGTTGTTGGAATTAAAATCAATGTATTTTTCTACTTTCTGTTCCATTTTTTTTGTTTATGGACTAAAATATCTGAGGGCAATTTTCTTTCAGATTCTTTTTCTATTGTGAATTGAATGTTATTATTGATACTGTTGGCGCTACTCAAAGACGTTTTCTCGAGTTTTTTATTATCTAGAATGATGAAAGTTTCATCCACATATTTTTTAAGCTTTTTACATTTGTGAGGAAATATCTTCAAGGCTTGCATTTTCAACGTTTCCATGACTCAATCTGCTATAATTGTTGAATCTGGGGAGCCCACAATGTAGCATGACTTTATTGGCAACATTGTCATGGGACTGGAACTGGGTGGCATCAAGACATAGTTTTAATGGCACATAAGTTTCATCTTGTAAAAGTGATCTCCATTGGGTTAAGGTCTTTTGGAGGGTATGGATGTGAACACGTTTACGACATTAAACGATATCATTCATCCCTTCATTAATGGATATTGTCCGAAGATATTGTACAAATTCAAAACTATTATTTATTTGGTACTGACTATTCCTAACTAGGTGGGGTAATAAGCATGCCAAATGTTTAGAAAGGTTATTTATGGATGAACTGATGAAATAGAAGATCGGTCGTAATGAAAGATTATATTTGTAAATCTTTGGAAGGACATACAGGCGCGAAGTATGCCAATTTATTGATCTTAAGTGAAAACAAGGAGTGTTTGAAAATATTTTCTTTTAAGTCTAACAATGCATCATTCATTTTCGATTCCAAGAATAAGGGTGGATTCTTGGCAGGTGTTGAAATACAGTGGAATCACTTAACAGCTCATTTAATATCGATTTTTTTTATTTAGAATCACAATTGATTCTCCCTTGTCAGCAGATATTATATGAATATCTTTGTTGTTTTTTTAGTTTTTAATAACTCGAGATTCTTGTTCAGTTACTTTGATGTGGTAGGATGATAACAACGAAGACTATTGGTGAGAGCAATAGGTTGAGTTTTTAATTCTGAGATTGACACATTATTTGTCATAAGGCGTCTTCCACTGGTCTCAATAGTTTCATAAGATGGATTGATTTTGAAGTTATTGCAAATTTTAGTCCTTTAGCTAAAAATTGAGTTTCAGTTTCATTTAAAAACGATTGTAGAAAGATCTCTAATAGGATTATTTGACAGTGATCTAATTTTCTGGTTGTTGAGTTACCGCATCTTTGAATTTCTTAATGTGCCGTTTTTTTTTATTTCTTCAAGTCTTTAACAAACAAAAAACTACCCTTCTGAAATATTTTAATGAACAGACAAGAAAATAGGTTCCAGTTCAACTGTATCACCATAACATCACGTGTTCCTTCTGTGAACATACTGTTACGACAGCTGGAGTTTCTAGAAGGATCGTGACTTATCGGGCAACCTCACGAATGCCCCAGCGTTTGTTAGACGCCCTCTTTTTTTAGTATATAAGCCGGAGATAGATTGAAGAAAAATAATGGAGAATCGAGTCAAGCGAGCAGTAGGCACAGTAAGTAAAGTGTGTGAATCGCTGTGAATTATAGCGTGTTTATAAAAGTTGTTAAGTTTAAAGTGACTGTGGAAATTAAGTGTATTACAAAGTTTTAACGAGAAAGAATAAACTAGTTTTAATTAAGAAAGGACTTGTATCGCTGAAGTTTCTTGGAAATAATTTTTACGGGAAATTATCAAACGAGCAGATACGTAACAATACTTAATCACTTTCAATGATTCACAACATACAGTGACCACTGAGGAAGACATGAGATTGTGTCAAAACGAATAGCAGGTTTTCAAGCATTGGTTTTAATAAAATTGTTTTAAAAATTTTTGTCTGGTGTTTCAGCAAAAACGGTTGTTGAACTTCATTACTTATTTGAATTTGGATATTGCCTTATAGTCACAAAAGCACTACACAGAGATGTAAGTATCATAGGCCCTAGGAACTGAGTAGATTCTGCCGGATTTGGGTTAGTTCTCATAGTATAACCTTATATATATCAGCCTTTTAATGCCTTTTTGTGCCACTGCGTAAGTTAATTAATTTTGAAAATGAATATTTATGTATTTTAACCCGGGCTGCCCGTGTTTCCCTTCGGCAGTTCTGTGTCCTGGACAGATGTCCTGGTTGCTTTCCTTTAAATCCGATCCTGGAACTACACCAAATACTAACAGAATTCCAGTTTGAACTAAATGTTGTTTTAGGTGTACAAAATTCATCCAATTAA